CACACACACACACACACACACACACACACACACACACACACACACACACACACACAAACACACAATCAGTTTCATGTGTCTGTCACTATCTCTTAGCACTTTGTGTGCCCAATTGAGCACCTCCAAGAAGTGCCAAAGAATCGGTGGCGCGCTGAATCGGTGGCGCGCTGTTTGAAGTGTGTACTGGACTATTATGTATGTCTGTAACTTTCTCTTAGGAAGGACATTCTGTGTGTCTAATTGCGCACCTCTAGTAAGATGTCGGTACCGGGTTGCTACATCAGTGTCCTTTGCTTTTACATTCTTTGAGATGACGAAACTTTTAATTTGAGTCCAAGTACAAAGCACGGTTCAACCACACCTCTAAGATTCTGAATTCTCTGGCATGCGTTAATCAAACACTACTTGGCAAATTGCGCACCTGACACGGTCGTTAGCATGGTGCCATGGTGCACGACTTGCAGGTCAGCCTAGGTCGGCCTACCGGGGCAAAATGGCTGGCAGCGCCAGCGAAGACGAGGTTTTTCTGCCACATTAAAAGATAGGCGTCTGCCACGCACCCCTGCAGGACCCCTATAGATAAGGAAGATGATCTTATCAGGACAATGCCATGCAGACATCCGCATGCATCTCTATACTTTTCCTCTTCCCAATTGTGGTACTGGGCACAGTCCTCTGGCCCAGGGACTGGTTCAAACGAAGAGGCCGGGCGGTTATTGATGGGTTTCTTTTGGAGAAAAGAGTTAAAAAAACAACAATTTGTCTTTTCATCTTTCAATTTAAATCCGATGAGGCGAGGATCTTCACAGAGTCTTTACCCAGAGCAGATATTACTGGGACCATTACCCCGGCGGGCCGGCGGCTTTGGTTGTGTCGTTGCCTGCTTTCTGTGGTAGCCTGCTGGAAGCCGGGACCACCACCCATTGACAAACATTCAAGTATTAACTATTGTGGCCCCAAGAAAAGCAGACCCTTTCATTTTTGGGATAGGCTAGCATCTTCCCCCGAACCCCGAACACAATGCATCCTCAACATGAATGCATACAAGCTATCTTTTCAGCCCGATACAATCATAATGAGGGTGCACTGTGCTCCGGTGAAGACGGCAGTCCAGAACTCCAAAAAAATCCAAAGGAAAAAAGTTAAAAAAAAAAAAAAAAACATCCACAAAAAGTCCACGATTTTTTTTTTAAAACTTTTCCATATTGCATGCATTCCAATTCTGCACTTCTAACAAAAATCACTGACATTCCACCGCCCCTATTTCTCCTCGCTGACGGCCTTCTATCCTGGCACCGTCACGCCGTAACCCCTCACCCATCAACCACCCATCACCCTAATGTAGCCCTCACAGCCTACCACACTTTCGAATCCCAAACCCTCTCCTTCCACAGGCTGCAGGAGCCCCAGGCTTTGCTTTCGAACTTTTCACTGGTCCCCTCTTACCCCCCCGCCCCCCCCTTTATCTCGTAAGGAAAACAAGTGGAGCTGCCGCAGCTACGCTGCGGCGAAGTTGCGGGGGGGAAAAAAA